CGAAAAACACATAATATCCTGCGTTGGAAATGCACATAAAATAACAGTCCATGTTTATGAAACAGAATAATCCGAGAGAATTGACAGCCAGCGAAAATAAACACAGCTGCTGTCCGCCATTTTGAAAACGGAAGTCCAGTTGACTATTAAGACATGCTTGTTTTCTCCACAACAGGGCACCAAAACCCACACAGGAAAAAAATATTCTTTTTATAACCAATGAAAATGTCAGCTGAGTTTAGATAACCATGGAAACAAAACAAAGCAAGGGACCCTCTTTATTTATGTCAGTGATGCCTCAGGCATATGATGCTCAACTCATACTTTTACAGACTAATTGGCACCCTGCAGCTGATGTTGTTAACACCATACCAGCCTACTTTACTTCCCGGGACATTACCTGGTACTCTTTGTAGGTTGGGTTGACCTGGCAAACAAGGTCAATTCTGAAGGGAAAAAAAGAAGCTTTCAAAAAACATGCATTCAGCACAGCCAGGTACTTGATCACAGACTCCAGCCAGGTACTTTACCACAGACTCAAACCAGGTAATTTACCACAGACTCCAGCCAGGTACTTTACCACAGACTCCAGCCAGGTAATTTACCACAGACTCCAGCCAGGTACTTTACCACAGACTCCAGCCAGGTAATTTACCACAGACTCCAGCCAGGTACTTTACCACAGACTCCAGCCAGGTACTTTACCACAGACTCCAGCCAGTACTGTTTACATTCAGTTATGTTTATATAGTGTGAATAATTTGACAAAATATCTGTTGACTGACTCGGTGACAACGAATTATATTGTGTGACTGGCAAACTGACAAAATACATTTTGTGTGACTCAGACTGACAATATATGTGTTGTGCAACTCACATATCTAGTATTCCTGTATTTAACAAAAAAACTTAGAGAACTACTACAATTATTGCTAATTCACTAAAAACATTAATGGCCTGTGGGACATGTGCATGCATTAAACAAAAGACACAAATTAATTAAATATTATAAAATCTATTTAATGCTTTCTGCATTAAAAAAAAAAAAAAAAAACCAGTGAAGGACCCCTGTTACACTTATATTTACAGACTGACAACATAGATGATCATCAGTGTCAGAAAAATAAACAATATACAGAGATAGAAGATTGTGGATAGACATGACTACCAATGCCTATAAGCAGAAGATACTAAAGCCACTTATTGTGTGTGGCACATGCATCAATAACTGAATTAAAAATGTCATTTAGTTAAGTTAATCATGTCATTATCCACTTCTTCTTCTTCTTTATGTCCACGCCATGGCATTGGTAGTCACGTTGTCCACAATCTTATGTTTCGTGTACTTTCAGTCAACTCTAGCACAGATGATCTTCCATGCCATAATGTCAAACTGTCCAGCATCTTTTCTCTCGGTCTCCCTCTGCCTCTTCTTCCCTCCAACTTTCCTACCGTCATGATGTACTCCAGTTCTCTTCTTTTCATCACATGACCAAAGAATGTATATTGTCTCCATCCAATGTGAGCAATCAATTCTCTTTGTAAGTCAGTTTCTTTCAATACATCCTAATATAATTATCAGTCAAACTTCAAAATGTTAATCAAATGTAAAACATCCGTATTTATTTATCCTGACTACATTGTTTTCCCTTTAAGTTTATGATAGCCACATTTGGCAACAGCACTGATCATATTTTGTTTCACACAAAAAAAAACTTCCTGATTTTCATTTATTTCTTGTATCCTGAGTAAATGCTGGTTCATTCATCTTTGTACACATACAAAGAAATGAATATAATGTGCATGATTTACATTTCAATCGTCGTCTTCTTCCTTTTCGGGGGGAGAACAATTCAATAAAACAGTAAAATAATATTAAACTTACAATACAATTATAGTAGATCCGTGTTTGGCGAACGAAAAAAGAAGATCTGTGTTTAAAACATGCAGCAAAATCACAGCATGACAAAATGACAGGCTAAATAAAGTACAAATACAAGAAAACTAGCCTTAAAATTGTATAACTTTCCATAAAATAGCATAAAAGTTAAACTGTTGATTGACATTTTTACTTTTAATACCATAGGTTGTTATACCTGATTCACAGAAATTTACAAAATTCACATTCGTATGTGCAGGAATATGGCAACACACAATTCACATTTTATATGTTCAATCTATCTCATGATGAGTGTGCAGTGTCCATAAAATCTGTTTACAGTATTCTGCAAACAAAATTGTACTTATGAATGTTAGAATTCCCTGTGCAGATTCCTGGGCCTCACTGTGGGGAAATAAGTATAGTCCCACTGCCTTGCCCTCACTGTGGGGAAATAAGTATAGTCCCACTGCCTTGCCCTCACTGTGGGGAAATAAGTATAGTCCCACTGCCTTGCCCTCACCGTGGGGAAATAAGTATAGTCCCACTGCCTTGCCCTCACCGTGGGGAAATAAGTATAGTCCCACTGCCTTGCCCTCACCGTGGGGAAATAAGTATAGTCCCACTGCCTTGCCCTCACCGTGGGGAAATAAGTATAGTCCCACTGCCTTGCCCTCACCGTGGGGAAATAAGTATAGTCCCACTGCCTTGCCAACAAGCATGTCCTAGGAGCAAACTAAATGGGGGCATCCTTCGAAGTCAGAGTACATCTACCTGAGAGGCAAGGAACCATTCTACATACAAATAAGCCAGGTGTGTGAAACAGATGTGTATGCAACAATCATGTTCTGAAACAAGACTGAAGTCCGGAGGTGGATTAACATCCAGAGCTTACCCCCGGAATTTACAGCTGGTGAACTCGAAGAAGAAGAAGAATGTTAGAATTTTATCTTGTTTTTTTCTCTCACTTTTCACTGTTGTATTTTTCAAGTTATCTCTTGTCGCAATAAGGCCAGAAGTTAGATGAAAAGTTTAACAGTAGTATTTGTAAAATTGGAAACATGCAACTTTACCTGTGTTAATAACTGTTTGACAAAGCTTAATAATGAAGAAGTCAAATCATTTACTTTAACTTTCCATCCCAAACAACGCACTACGTCTGACTAGACATTATTTGTGTGTCCCAAACAATACACTGTATATGTTTTGTATATTATGTTTAGTCATGGAGTCTTTAACAAAATTTAAGTAACACATTTGTCTCCTACAAGGACTGGGTATTGGATCCTCATGGAAGTAGTATACAAAAGAGTTTAGTGACGTCAATCATTAGCTAGGGCTATTTGGGACTGCAAGAATGAAGATATCAGACTGCCAACTGACTTGTGGAAAAGGACAGTCCACTGCCCTCAAACAAGCATGTTGTAAAAGGTGACTACTCATGGATTTGTTGAAATTGGACGTGTTGGACCAAATGGTACAGATATAGCAGCCTAGCTGTAAGCCACACAACACAAGATACTGAGCGTCCTTTTCAGGGTGAATACAGAAGAAGTCTTGTCCTGATTTGTTCCTACGTATATAGTGAGGTGCTAATTAATTATATGGCTAGGTGTTAGGTATATGGCGAGGGCCTAATTATATAGCATGGTCCTAATTAATTATATAGTGTTGTCCTAATTATATAGCGAGGTCCTAGGTATATGGTGAGGTCGTAATTAATTATATGGTGAGGTCCCAATTAAAAGGTGAGGAGTTAATTAACTATATGACAAGGTCTTAATTAATTATATTCTGAGGTCCTTATTTTATGGTGAGGCCCTAATTATATGGCAAGGTCTTAATTAATGGTGAGGTCCTTATTATAAGGTTAGGAGTTAACTATATAGCGAGGTCCTAAATATATGCGAGGTTCTAATTAAATGATAAAACCCTAATTAATTACATTTGAGGTCCCAATTAATTATATAGTAAGGTCCTTATTTTATCGTGAGGTTCTAATTTATGGCAAGGTCCTAATTAATTATATGGATATGTCCTAATTATATGGTGAGGTCCTAATTATACAGTAAGGTCCTAATCACTTGAAGAAACCATATTTCTGTAGCTCATTGTTTAAAACCATACAAGGACTGTATGAACACACTGTACATCATATTTACAATATAATATTACACAACATAATATAAAGTGAATGTGGGTGTCGAGAAAACTGGTAAAGACTAATTACTCTGAACTGAAACAAAACGCTGAAGAAAAAACATATTAGCAGCTCCCAAATCTTCAGTCCATAAAAGAACTTTCTGGATACGTTCTTCTTCTTTACTTCATCTTTTATGTTTGCGGGTGTCAAGAGGGATATAAGGTTCTGTTTCTTGGTCTTTGGGTCAACACAAACATAGAGACATATTTCTACTGCAGAGTTTCTCTAATGTTATCATTCAATGTTTGTCTACCTCAAGACCAATGTTCCTCTCCCCTTTTGGTGTATGCCTTGTATGGTATCGCACCAGACGGCAACCTCTTTATGTGGGCAAACACTTTTATCTGCTGTCTTTCTAAGTCATTTAGCATTGGTTCTGTGCTGACTTTTTCCTCTTATGACTTCATTCCTGATTCTATCTATTGTGGTCACTCATGCAGCCTTTCTCAGACAACTCATTTTCATGGTATCTTTTCTGGTTTGTTGCTGAGTGACCATGTCTGGCACTGACAGCACAGAATGAGACAAATATGCTTTGTGTGAGATATTTCTTTGTGCCAACTGGGACTGTTAAATGATGTGGGGTAAGGGGGGCGGGGGTGGCTAGCTATCCCGATACTTGATTTGCTTTACTACATCGGATGGTAATTTCTTCACCCTTCTTGGTGAACACTGTTCCTAGACATTTAAACTCAGATGCCTGTTTAATAACTCCTCACTCTACTGTAGATTGAAGTTAACGCATTGCACATCATATTTACAATGCAACATTGCACATCATATTTACAATGCAACATTACACATCATAATATACAAAGTGAAAATAGGTATAGAGGAGACTGTACAGGACTAATAACTCTGAACAACTGAAAACAAATCTGGTTTCTACAACCGGCAAAACAAAAATATTAGCAGTTTCTACAACATGGGCAAGTGAAACATCTTCCGCGACAAATACACTTTCAGAGATGGCGGTACTGGAAGCTGAGCCACACACCGAACCAAACCTGGGCAGTCGTAGGTTATCAGTCTCTTCTGAATAACTTTGCGGCACAGGTTTCTCAGAGAGGGTGGTGAGGTCATGGCTAAGGTGTACCAAGCCAGGAAATTGTCATCACCTGTCAGAAGTTCAGCTGGGATGCCTGGTCCTTTCCACCGCAGCCAGTCTTCAAGATTTAGCATATCACAACCAGCAGCATACAAGATCTGTGATTACAAATGTAACCAAATGTATGAGAATCAGACATATAAATATTTATGAATGTATGGTATCTATTCAAAACAGATCACCAGTTAAAAAGACTATCCTACTGATCACACTAGCAAACAATTTATGTCCATTGTCTAAATCCTGTCAGAACTGAATTTTCAACTTAGGGAGTAGCTGAACTAATTTTAGAGCTATTGTAGAAACACCTCTATGTCTGGTTTTGTGTGTGTCCATTCTTTAAAAATAAAAAGAGGGCAAATTCGCAAAAAGTCCAAATTATTGATCTAGGGGAAAAATCTGTGTATGCTAATCATTACAGTATGGAGACTAGCTATAAATGTTTCCTGCATTCCTTTGCTGTTTCAACTTTATCTCTGCAACATTTGTAGAGAAAAAAAGCTGACATTGATCCACAGCTAGCTTGTTTTTCTTTGAGTTCTGGTGAGTACTCACTGTTCTCTTTATAATTATTTTACCAGAAAAACACTGCACACTGATAAAATACAGTATCTACAGGAAATGTACATCCCACACACACACACAATAACTGAAATAAATAAACACATATGATCATAATGTAAACTAAACAATAAATAAATTCACTAAAGAATAACTAAAAATATAAAGATATCAAATAGCTCAAATACAATTTTAACAACATAGCTGGGAATAAATAAGAAAACATGGTGCCGTTTCCACAACAGATGTTAGCTGCAATGTATCCACTTCTTCTTCTTCTTCTTTACGTCCTCTTTTACTGCTTCAGGTGTTGAGGGAGATAGAGTTTCTCTGATGTTATCTTCCCATCTTGTTCTTGGTTTACCTCTTACTCTATGTCCTTCTCCTCTTTCCACTGCTAATCAGAAATATGACATTCTGAGATCCCAGTCTATCCTATGGTGTGATTCTCATACCACAAAATGACTTTTTCTAAATGTCCACTATGGGAATAAAACCTCCATAAATGTCCAGGCTTGCACTGTTTTACCGTTTCACAAACCACTAAGCAACAAAAAATATTCAATAAATATACAGCCAGTAAAGATATTTGGTAAAGCCTATGAAAAATGCCGCCAACCTGTACATTCTATGAAGTGTTCTTCTTCTTCATGTTTACCAGCTGTAAACTCCAGCAGAAAATTCTGGTTGTTCGTCCACTTCTGGACTCCTGTCCTTTTCCAGAATCTCAGTGTTGTGCGCACATACGTTTAACAGACATGACTTTTTTGTACGCAGACTGTTGGTTCCTTGCCTCTCAGGCAGATGTACTCTGACTTTAAAGGAAGCTCCAAATTAGTTGACTCTTACGACTTGCGTGTTGAGGAGGTGGTGTGTCTATTCTTGTTTTCCCCATAATGAGGCCCCGGAACCATACGGGGAATATATGTGAAGTAACAGCCAGAGAAACTAAAGAGAATGACAACAGACAGCAACATCAGATCTTCCTGTGTTCTAATTTGTTGAACAGAGAATATAACATTATTCTTAGATAAAATAATTCAAATTTAATAACAATAATATCTATTTTGCTGTAGGTCCAACAAGGCACATCTCAAGAGAACATACAAACTGTGGGGTGTGTCTTGATAAATTCATTCCTGGTGACTTAATGCCTCATAGCATGGACTGTAAAAACATAGATATTCTGCCACTGACTAAACACGCATGCCAAAGAGACTGACCTTTATACACGGGACTTGGTACTTCAGGTCTTCCTTGTAAAGACCAGTGCTTAGAGAAGCCACACACACGTACAGCGGTGTCCTGCCCTTGTTGTCTACAACATTGACATAACTGTTGGCTTCCAGCAGGATACGTATAAGTTCTTTCAGCTTCCAATGGGCTGCACTGTGCAAGGGCACTCGACCATATCTGTCTGCGCTAGATACGAAGGAATGTTCAAAAAACATATAATGTATAAATGAATATAAAGGTAAAGCAAAAGACCTTTTTCCACGACTTCAGGTGTACTGGGCATATAGGGCTAGATCTGTATTTGATAAAGCAGTCAGCAATCAGTGGATGATGTGGTCACTATCATGTCGGCCGCCTTTATTCCCTGGACTCTACCATATACCCATTTATGGCTGGGTCCACCTAGGAGACAAGTCATTTTTTAAAAAGACTGGCTCCGTCAGAACCTGAAACCACACCTTTCCGTTCTGCAGCCATGACAAATATTAGCATAAAGAAAGGACTATATTTACGCCTGTGGTGTACGGGTATTTTTTTTTTTTTTTTAGATTGATCAGCATATGGTGGTGAAGTGGTCAACATTAGGCCAACCACCTTTACGTCCCAGGACATTACGTGGCGACCATTTTGGCTGGGTTGACCTGGGAGTAATTTAAACCAAAAAAAAAATCTGCGTCAATACAGATTCAAACCCAAGACCTGCAGGTCAGCACCTAGCCACCACACTATGACAGCTCGCAATGCTGGCACAGTGGAGGGAAAAATTAGAGGACTTTGTGAATATGTTTTCAGGCCGTGATCATTCAAACAATCGGGTGCCATCTCCACAGTGTAAGTTGGTTGTAATAAATCTCCAACATTCTCGGTCTCTTGTGCTGGTAGTGCACTCTCTGATACTGCTGTTCGTTCATCTATTGATGTTGTCCTCCCACTGATATCATTGTGTTGCCATTCAGATGTTGTCCTCCCACTCATATCATTGTGTTGCCATTCAGATGTTGTCCTCCTACTCATATCATTGTGTTGCCATTCAGATGTTGTCCTCCCACTGATATCATTGTGTTGCCATTCAGATGTTGTCCTCCCACTGATATCATTGTGTTGCCATTCAGATGTTGTCCTCCCACTAATATCATTGTGTTGCCATTCAGATGTTGTCCTCCCACTCATATCATTGTGTTGCCATTCAGATGTTGTCCTCCCACTGATATCATTGTGTTGCCATTCAGATGTTGTCCTCCCACTGATATCATTGTGTTGCCATTCAGATGTTGTCCTCCCACTCATATCATTGTGTTGCCATTCAGATGTTGTCCTCCCACTGATATCATTGTGTTGCCATTCAGATGTTGTCCTCCCACTGATATCATTGTGTTGCCATTCAGATGTTTTCCTCCCACTGATATCATTGTGTTGCCATTCAGATGTTGTCCTCCCACTCATATCATTGTGTTGCCATTCAGATGTTGTCCTCCCACTGATATCATTGTGTTGCCATTCACTCTTCCCTCCAGAATTGTTTTTAAAAGAGAGTTATGTCTTTTATTGTGATCAAGATACTCCAGCTGTCTCTTTTTTATTTATTTCAGCAACTATCTTTTCATCTAAAGTCTCTTCAAAACCTTTCTATTTGAGGTTGTGGTTCCAGTTCTCACATATCGTGCTTTCCTTTTCCAAATTAATATGCAACTTCACAAACAGAAAAAAAAATTAGACACTACCTGACACATGAAATATTAATACATTGTTACTACAAAAACTTTCACAATATAACAGAACAGCCAAACATGCCAGAGTGACTAAAGTTGTTTCTGAGACCAGGGATGAAGTTCTTCCTCTCAACACCACAAAGCCTGGGCAGTGTTGCAGGGAGCATGTATTGCATATGCAGCATGATCCCTTCCTTGTTTACTCCAAAGGGAAGGTAACAGCAGTATGTTTGGAACAGGGCGCCAGATAGAAGAGAAATGCACTGTCTACCTGTTAGAGCTTTTCAATACACCAGCTGTCCAGCCAAGGCTAAGGGCCTGGTTTGCCCTGCCGTAACAGGAAGTTGCCAGGTTGCATTTCCTTTTCCAAGGATAGGGCTAGTATCCTCCCCAAGGCGCTCTTCTGCCCAGGCTGGGCAAAATGTAGGATGTCAGTTTTGGTATACCCCGCCCAACATTCAGGTTTAACAGAAGACAGGTAGTATCACCTTCTTACATATGGTAAGTCAGTCATATCTCACAAAGAGCTGACCCACTGGCCAGCAATAAGCTGATGATAAGATTACAGATAATTGCATTTGGTTGTTTAATGGCTAAATGATTCAAAACACAAAGTACTTCAAAACATATATAAGCTATTGTATAACAACATTTTAAAATGCTCTAAGAACATACAGACTGCTCTAAAGATACACAAAATCTTTCACAAATATATTTTTTTTTAAAAAAGCTCTTTAAAATATGAACAAAACTGACAATATATCAAAGGCTCAAGGTTATCAGACATATTATTCTGGAAAGGCTAACCCAGGCAACAAACAATCAAGAAGTCAGATGTGTCAGCCAAAAGGCATAAATATCGCAACCATGCTGTAAACAAGCACAACAAAATTACATTCTTGGATGAAACAGAAAAAGAAAAGGTCAAATTATCAGCAATATTTCAGTCGGCGCCAACTGTATTCATAAGCCACACAGAACTTACATGTTGACTGAAGCACCAGCAGCCAACAGTCGAAGTATTGTTGCATAGCTGGAGTGAACTATAGCATTCTGAACAGAGATGTACAAAGGAGTTTGGTTCTCCTTGTCAGGTTTGTCAATTTCAGCACCTGCAGATTCACAATTCATTTGTAGAAACATCTCAAAACTGTAGCAATTAAATTATTTAGTATCTAGTACTTCTTGACTGGCAGCCTTTAAGCGTAGTGGCTAGATAGATGCTCAACTACCAGCCTAAGAGTTTGAGCTCTGAATCTCCACGGAGTTGGATATTTTTTAAAATAATGACCTTGGCTTAAAATTTGCATAGGTAATGTCATGGACAGTAAAGGAACCTGTTGCGATGCTGACCACATCATCCATCATATTCCGATTGGTCTATTAAAATACCGGTCTAGCTGTATATGCCCGATGTACTAAAGGCATGAAAACAGCCCTTTCCTTAAAAAACAACAACACACACACACCAAAAAAACACTTTTTAAACCCTACTGCCCTAAGAAGACTACATCTAGGCTCTTCTGGTTGTGACCCAGTCCCATAAATGCTGCTATATGGCCAGGACTTTAGTAACCTGCTCTTTAAAATCTTATTTAAATTCTATTGGTCCTATGAAGCTTGCACAGTGTTTAGCTCTTTGAGTCCCAGGGGGTTTAGCATCACAGGCCCAGCGGGTAGTAAAGAAAGTAATAAAATCGGTGCATCATGCGTTCATTGGGCTTCTAGGTAGGAATCTATGAACGCATGATGCATTCCTTGGGACTCAAAGAGTTAATAGGCCTGGGTAAGAATATATTAACTAAAAATAACATTGGATGGAGGTGTCCCTTATGACCCCAATGGCCTTTTGAAAGCCAAGCTGAAGTCAAATTCTCCTGTAAGCCTCAGTGTTAGAGGTCAGGGCTTGAGTCACCTGATGGATATAGTTTTTTAGGCTCTGGGGAATGTATTCCATTCAATGCATCACTCAAGTTTACTGATTACCCCTTTATATATCTTTATTTCAAAGAAAATAATTTATAAATGTAGATAAAAGAATTTGTAACAATTTTATTTGTCACCTGTGTAAAATGTTTGTTTTTAAATTTTTCGAGCCCTGAGGAATGCATCAGGCGCTAATCGGTTACTACCCAGCTGTCCAAATGGTGCGTGATGCATACTGGTTTTTAATTGACCACTGGTCAGTATAACAGCCCAAACTGGCAGTTCTAAATGTTATTTCCTGTTCTTTGTGTTCAATGTCACACGTGTTGACCAGTAGGCTTTTTGAAAACGTGGTTAAAAGCATAACATGTAGCATGTTTGTGAACTTTACAGAGTTACTAAATGTCTGTGTGAAAACAATATGGTTTTCGAGCAGACTTCTTAAAGCATGTCAACAAAATTTATGACTTTAGAAGCCCCTTATTTAAATAAAATACGTGTTTATCAGATTTATCTGAAGCCAGTCAAAGAAAGTTACAAATTAGACTTGTTTCAGTCACTGATAGAGTCATACTTTGACGAGGGATAGCTCTGATTTATACCTCATGCAAAGCGTACAACGATAAAAAAAAAAGGCAGCTGGTATAAAGAGAATACATTTTATATAGAAAAAAAGTCAATATTCTTATATAAATGGATATCATATATACCAAGCCCTATATATATATATATATATATATATATAAGATAAAACCCTGTTGCGTATCCTTTACAGGACGTCATGCAGAACCAACCCTACAACGGATTGCCCCTGGCTGTTGTGTGGTTTCTCTAGGCAAATTTACATCCACAAGAGTTTGCCATTGCTTTCTGGACAGTCGGCTTTCTAGATACCACTGTTTTACCTCAAAAGCGACGCAAGGCGCATTGCCCGCAGCTGGGATCGAACCCGGCATCCCGGCATTACGAAGCGAAGCGTTCGCATCGACTTAGCCACAGAGCCGACATATATATATATATATTCCATTATTATTTGGGAACATAGACTATAAAACTACGGGCCTATTGAGTGTTAATTAAAGTTAGTTTTTGTGTGAAAATACTAACTGTTTTCTGAAGTAATTTTTCTTTACCAAAAAATTGGTGCTCTGCTATGATGTTCTAAAAGTTTATCTGGAACGAGATATAATGAATGAACAGATTGTGTTTATATTTTATTTATATATTAGTAAGTGGTTCGTGTTCATTTCTGATTCATTTTGGATATATTTTATCGGATTTTTCTTAAGTATCATGGTGGTAAGTGAAAAATTATTATTTCATTTTTTCCGAATTGCTCTAAACTTATCATCTGTTTATTTACTAATAATTAACTACTAAAACAATTTTTTGCTGTAGCAGTATTCCTTAACAATCCCTGGTCACTTTGATGCATAATATGTAGTTACATTGTGCGATAGCTGAAATAGTATGATTTGTTTTAGTGTGTTAGACTTGTGACATTTCAAAATTGCACTACCACCCATTAGGCCTCTGATGCTGAACCCCCTGGGACTCAAAGAGTTGAAAGATTTTTCCATAAATTCCTTCAGATCTAGTACCCATTTTTTTTTTATCACTGGAAAAAGTTAATTTAAAAAAAAAAAAAATAAATAAACAGACTAACAAACCCACCTATTCAGCCATTAAGTAAAACAGGCTATTCAACTGGGTCTCTAAGGTCAAATCTGACCCGCATGCCAAATCTAGCCTGCAGAGACCCAGCAAATGGTCTGCAGATTGTGGCCAGTTGTAACATATTTATGACCTGTCTATGCTGGGCTCAGGCCTCTGGCACGTGACGACCCCTAATTCCAAAATCTGAGTCCTAAGTAAACTTAACACATGAATCTATCAGACTTGCCTGCTTTAACCAAGACGTCAACTAGAATCATGCGCCCATGAAATGCAGCCTTGTACAATGGTGTACAGCCATTGCGGTCAGTTCTGTTGACTGCTGCTCCACTATGAAGCAAAATCTGTACAAGATATTAAACTGTTACCATTGGGTGTGAATTATTTAACATTTTGTCTTCTGTAACATTTCTTTTACCTTCTATGCAGTAGTCCACAACTGGCAATTTATTTCTTAACTTTCTGTAAATTTTACCAATAACACTACATCTGATTTCTCTCTCTTGCTCCTTCTATGTGTGTGTGTATGTGTGTGTGTGTGTGTGAGAGAGAGAGAGAGAGAGAGAGAGAGAGAGAGAGAGAGAGAGAGAGTTTGAGAGTAAAAAGAGGAGAAAAAGGGTGGGGGGCGACAGAAAGATCCCTATATTTTTTCTGATTCTTAGGATTGTTAAAAAAAAATTTCTTTTTCTGCCTTTCATCTCTCCCGCCATGGTTGAGCGGCTAGACATTCATCTGCAGATCTCAAGGTCATCGCTTGAGATCCGAACAGAGCCAGACTGTTTTAAAAAATGACCTTGACTCCCAGGTTGACCCAGCCTAAAATGGGTACCAGGTAATGTTCTGGGAAGTAAAGGTGGCTGGTGTGATGCTGATTAAATCACTCACCGTGTGCCAGTTGGTCTATAAAATATAGGTCCAACACTGTATGCCCATATAGCTGTAAGTAAAGAAAAGGGTCCGTTACTTTTATCTCCCTAAAACACAGACTCTCAACCAACTCATGTCTAGCCCTTTGCAGACTTCATCATAATTGCTTGTACTGTGCAGCTAAAGCTTTATACATGGGATGAGCTAGCAGTTTAATACACACTTTCCTTAGATGCCTTATATGACATGTAAGCTACAGTATTCTTTACTCCCCCTTCTTTCCCAAACAAAATATGACCATGGAAGCCACTTCAGCTTTAATTTTAACTCTTTTGGTACCAGGTTTCATAGGAAGTTTCAAAGTGAAGTAATAACCATGTTAAAAAATATTTAATGCATTACTTTTGAAGTGGCAGAAGACTTCTACGAAACTTGATCACACTACAATAACACAGCTGAAGATACATACCATAATTATCTGCTGCAGATACACTATCACAAATATCTCTACTGAAATGCACTACCATAGCTATCTCCTGCAGATACACTACTATAATTATCTCCTGAAGATACACTACCATAACTATCTCCTGAAGATACATTACCATAATTATCTCCTAATGATACATTAAATAACTATCTCCTTGAGATACATTACCATAACTATCTCCACGTGGTTCAAAGAGACTGCAGCAATCAGGGGAGTGGTGCTGTCCTTGACACTGGGTACAGCTGGGTTACTCCAGGGATAGTTGATATCAACTCCTTGGTTCAGCACAGACAGAACACTCTGTTTATCATTGCCAACGACTGCAATATGAAGATCTCGCTCACGTTGGGGCATGCCCATAGTCATTGAGACTGCACAATTTTTACTCGTTCTTGAGTTTCCCATTCTGCTGTAGTTAACGTTTATGTTTGTTGGACACAAATTATTATTCTTCTTTCAATAGTTTGAGCCACAATAAACATATTTCATTAAAACTGTTCTTTGGAAGCTTTAATAAAAATTACATATGATTACTTATATGCTGATAACTCTCTCTCTCTCTCTCCACATGCATGCACATATGCACACACACAAGTATAAAAAACTTGGAATCCTAGATCAGTGTAACTAACATTTCTTCCCCAACATCTATGTACATTAGAGTGACAATATCTGAGGTGTCATCATCGCTGTCCTGTTGTGTACATTGGAGTGACAAAATATCCTAAGTGTTATCATCAGTGTCCTGTTGTGCAAATCAGAGTGACAATATCTGTAGTGTCAACATCATGGTCCTGTTGTGTATATTAGAGTGATAATATCTGTAGTGTCATCATCACTGTCCTGTTGTGTACATTAGAGTGACAATATCTGTAGTGTCATCATCACTGTCCTGTTGTGTACATTAGAGTGACAATATCTGTAGTGTCATCATCACTGTCCTGTTGTGTACATTAGAGTGACAATATCTGTAGTGTCATCATCACTGTCCTGTTGTGTACATTAGAGTGACAATATCTGAGGTGTCAACATCATGGTCCTGTTGTGTATATTAGAGTGACAATATCTGTAGTGTCATCATCACTGTCCTGTTGTGTACATTAGAGTGACAATATCTGAGGTGTCATCATCATGGTCCTGTTGTGTACATTAGAGTGACAATATCTGAGGTGTCAACATCATGGTCCTGTTGTGTATATTAGAGTGACAATATTTGAGGTGTCATCATCACTGTCCTGTTGTGTACATTAGAGTCACAAAATCTAAGGTGTCATCATTACCGTCATGTTGTGTACATTAGAGTGACAATATCTGAGGTGTCATCATCATGGTCCTGCTGTGCACATTAGAGTGACAATATCTGAGGTTTCATCATCACTGTCCTGTTGTGTACATTAGAGTGACAATATCTGAGGTGTCATCATTACTGTCCTGTTGTGTACATTAGAGTGACAATATCTGAGGTGTCATCATTGTGGTCCTGTTGTGTACATTAGAGTGACAATATCTGAGGTGTCATCATCGTGGTCATGTTGTGTACATTAGAGTGACAATATCTGAGGTGTCAACATTACTGTCCTGTTGTGTACATTAGAGTGACAATATCTGAGGTATCCTTATCACTGTCCTGTTATGTACATTAGAGTGACAATATCTGAGGTGTCATCATCATGGTCCTGTTGTGTACACTGGAGTGACAATATCTGAGGTGTCATTATCACTGTCCTGTTGTGTACATTAGAGTGACAATATCTGAGGTGTCATCATCACTGTCCTGTTGTGTACATTAGAGTGACAATATCTGAGGTGTCATCATCACTGTCCTGTTGTGTATATTAGAGTGACAATATCTGAGGTGTCATCATCACTGTCCTGTTGTGTATATTAGAGTGACAATATCTGAGGTGTCATCATCACTGTCCTGTTGTGTACATTAGAGTGACAATATCTGAGGTGTCATCATTACTGTCCTGTTGTGTACATTAGAGTGACAAAATATCCTAAGTGTTTTTATCAGTGCCCTGTTGTGTACATTAGAGTGACAATATCTAAGGTGTCATCATCATTGTCCTGTTGTGTATATTTAGAGTGACAAAATATCCTAAGTCTTATCCTCAGTGTCTACCTGGGTAGATAAGAGTGAATATAGGAAGTTAAATCATCAGGTCCTGCTGTGTACAATATCTGAGGAGTTTAGTGAGGCTATTTCTAGGGGTGGCTTGGGCAATAGAACTAATGATGCTTTGGATTTTCCAATCAGTCAGAGGTGCAACAAATATTATTACCACTTTTGTGGGTGTGACCCAGGTTTGCAAAATAGATTCAAGACTGTGCATGCATTCTAAAGCAGGGGTATTGAATAAATTATTTACCTACACTGCGTTTCATGTGAATTAAATTACTGATACACAGCTCAGTATATAGAGATAGTGACAATAACAAAAGATAATTATAAACTATTTCACATTTGGTATATACTAATGACAATTGTGGTTCACAAGAGGTTATTGGACTTTGAGTATTAATATCAGCAGGCAGTAAGATCGTCAGTGAACTGTTTTTCTTTTACCGATCATAGATAGCAGTGTTTGTTTTGTTTACTGTCCTCTCAGACCCAGATCCACTCAACAGCACATATTTTAGTTATTTTCATAATTATAAACAAGAAACGGTGTGCGTGCACAATATTTTTGTACATATGGGTAATACTATCAAATTTCAAGTGCAATATTTTAGGCAAAATACATCGCAAGGAGTCCGGGAACTAAAAACAAGAGAACATCGCACTAAAGTGAAGTGTGAACAATAACAAGAAACGGACCAGGATAAGTGATCGTGACGGAGATCAACAGCCCGGATGTAGAAGTCTGGATCGGGGAGTACTCATTGGTTTCATTTCCTCTTCTTCTTTGGTTCGCATGAAATAGGTTATATATTCTCAATATTAAAAAGTATATCTGCAATGTTGTCTGTAATAGTAATATGAGCCACTGTCTTGTGTAATTTACTCAGCGACCCCTAAAGTTTGGCTTGCAAGTGGGTTTATTGGTGTCGTTATTAATTTCATTGCAGCTTTGAAGTGGATAGCAGAAAATAGTTACCAGAGGAATTTTAATGTCTCATTCTCAGTTGTTATTGAGGACTAGGTCAATGTATCTAGGTCGTGGCTAGGTCGGGCAGAAAATGTTATTAGGCAAATATGCAGCCTAACCGACATCATACCTGGTGCAGAATGGATACCTGTGCCTCAGGCGTTTATTTGTACATTTTCCTGTATTGTCACACTCAACAGGCGATGTAGAGAAGAGAATCCTGTTGCTGTTAATGCAGAGGTCAACGCTCTCATCGGTGAAAATTCAGACGAAGCAGATGCAATACTCTATACAAACGGATCCGTTATACGCCAAAGAAGAAGCGCATGGGCATTCATAGCACGCTCAGCGGGCAGAACAGTCAAAGAAGCCAACGGCGCCTTCTCCATGACAACCAGCAGCATGACGATGGAGGTGATGGCAGTGACGCAAGCGTTTGCCTGGCTTGAAACACAAAAATACACCCGTGTATGTATACTCAGTGATTCAATGAGTATGATCCGGGGGGTTCAGGCAGGTTCAGTGCGAAGACAATGGCTTGAATCATTACAGAAGTCCACTGTGCGTGGAGTCACCTTTATTTTTGTTCAGGGAAACGCAGGCGTCGATGGAAATGAAAGAGCTGACAGGTTGGCTGGATCCGCTAACAATACCGACGGTCAGCCTATGGATCATGCTGATATTATCAATGCCCTCAGAGAAATAGGAAGGATAGAGGACTTTGGTGGCAGTGAATCCACATCACTCGCCAGAATGGCAGACTTGGGAATTAAGATCGGCACAGCAAAAAACGAGACGCACACCAGACACGCCAGAAGACTTGGTAATCAACATAGAACTGGTACTATTAACCATCGGACGTTGGGGTTCATACTGAGGGGAGGATCTGAGCACCTATGGACACGTCCGGAGTGCAATAAGGATAACCCAACTAACTAACTAACTAACTAACTAACTAACTAACTAACTAACTAACTAACTAACTAACTAACTAACTAACTATTGAGGAAGGTTCAAGATGGACATATTTGGTGTTGGTGGATACCACAGCACCAGTACATCAACATTACAGGTACTCGCGTTCTATGCTCCAAAGTATACTCAAAGTTAGGCTTTAAAAAAAAAAAAAATATGATCTGGAACTGGTAAACATCTTATCGAAGTTTGTAAGTTTATATATATCAAATAAAACTTATGGACAAACAAATTGAAGTTCCTCAAAACCTGTGAATTATGCCAAGGATGTGTACTATCTCGCACACTTTTTTTAAATAACACAGATTGACATACATGATAAGAAGCAAACATCAAAGAGGAAGAAGATACTATTTCAAAATGTGTCTTTGTAGATGACAAAGTATTATTTTGCAGAAACAGAAGAAAGTCTCCAGAAATATTTCAATCAAGTCAGTGCAAAACGTTACCATAAAATATGAAAAGGAAAGGGGGGAGGGGGAATAGACAATACAGACACAGTGGTGACAGCTAGGGAACCATAAACTATATCACAAAAAAGTAGACACAAACCCCCCCCCCCCCCCCACCCCCCCCTTTTTTTTCCACCCCCCCCCCCCCCGCTCCCCATCCCCAATGAATTTGAAAAGCTATGGTCAAGTTTCCCATCAGAAGCAAGAATAATTAGAGAAATCGACACACAGTTTGCAAAAGCCAATCCACAACTTTAACAACCAACACCACTTTTGAAACAGAGAAGGATACCTTTGTCTGCCAAGGAAAATATAATAAGAACCATTCATTCGCCAACTTTGTGCTTCTGGTGCCAAACATGGAACCTTATTACAACTGATTAGTGTAAAATCAAACAACAGAGTGAATTATGTGAGTGTGATTAACGGATCCTCCAAATTCTAGTGCTCTCTGCTGATTGTTGTAAGAGAAAGGAAGGGGATTCATGATTGTTTTGAGGGGAACTTTCATGCTTTCGAACTCGTTTGCACAGCTTTGAAGATTGTTTTGGGTTGCGGGAAGGGGACTTTCTCGGAGTTAAATCTCTCGTGTCAACAAACTTGTGTGCTTTCAGCGAAGATTTGTAGATGGAGGGTTGAGGGAAAAAAAAGGGGGGGGGGGTGAAGGGTGTTTATGGGTTGAACTCGTGGTGCATTGTGTCTTCAGCAAGCAACACTTCATGTATAGTCTTTAAATTAGTTTGCCTAGATTTAGTAAAAGTAGATAAAGGACCTTTTCCACGCTCTCGAGCGTTATGGACTACCTATGTTTTAAAGACCAGTCGACACTCAGGAGGAACTTTACTTGGTTCCTATTTAAGGCTGGGTCGCCCTGGTAGCCAAGGTA